CATTATCACAGGTGTAAAATGGTATCTCATTATCATATTGATTTATATTGAGCTCAGCTAGCTTTTGAGAATTCCAAGAAGCAGAATATCTGGGTAATATGAAAGCTAAATCCTTAGGTTTTTGAGAAGTGAAAATTACAAAACGCTACTACACGAAATTAAAGAGGACAAAAGAAAACGGAAAGCTATTGCCTGCTCATGGATTGGGAGAATTAACATTGTCAAAATGGCAATACTCCCCAAAGCATTGTACAAATTCAATGCGATTCCTATAAGGATATTCATGACATCATAAAGAAATGGATCAAACACTCCTAAGTTTCATATGGAACAATAAGCCCCCACAAATAGTTAAAACTATTCTTGGTAAAAAGATGTGAGGCATCACCTTCGCCAACCTCAATATATACTACAAAGTGGTAATAATTTAAACAGCATGGTACTGAAACAAAGGCAGAGGCACAGATCAATGGAACAGGTTTAAATATTCTGACACACATCCTCAAATATATCATCACCTAATATTTGATAAGGAAACAAGAAATGTGAAGTGGAGGAAGGAAAGCCTCTTTAACAAATGCTGCTGGCAAAACTGGGCAGCTACATGCAAAATATGGGTTCAGACCTCTACCTAACACCATGCACAAAAGCCAGGTAAAAATTGATTAAATACCTCAACATCAGACCAGAATCCATTAGGTACATTGAAGACAAGATTGGCAAAACCATGACATTGAAACTAAAGATATCTTTATAGGTGACACACCATTGGCCAAGCAAGTGGAAACAGAGATAAACAAATGGGACTACCTTACACTGAGAAGCTTCTGAACCTCAAAAGATACAGTGACCAATATACAAAGACAGTCTACAGAATGGGAAAGAATATTCACCCAATACCCATCTGATAAGGGGTTGATATCAAGGATTTACAGGACACTGGTTTAACTCCACAAGATGAAAACATTCAACCCCATCAGAAAATGGGGCGATGAAATGAAAAGAAACTTTCTCAAAGAAGAAATCTGAATGGCCAAAAGGCACATAAAAATGCTCATCATCATTAATCATCAGGGAGATGCAGATTAAAACAGCAATGAGATATCATCTCACACCACAGAGATTGGCCCACATCCAAAGGAAAAAAAGTAACAAGTGTTGGCACGGATGTGGCGAGAAAGGGACCCTCCTTCACTGCTGGTGGAAATGCCGACTGGTTTAGCCATTTTGGAAAACAGTATGGACGATTCTCAAAAATTTAAAAATAGAGCTCCAATTTGATCCATCAATACCACTTCTGTTAATATATCCCAGAGATGCAAAAAAGTATAGTAGAAATGACATCTGCACTTATATGTTCACTGCAGCATTGTTTACAATAGGCAAAATCTGGAAAAATCTCAAGTGCCTGAGAACAGATGACTGGTTAAAGAAATGTTGGTACATCTACACAATGGAATATTATGGAGCTATTAGAAAAGATGACGTCATGAAATTTTCCTATAGGTGAACCAACATGGAAAGTATCATGTTTAGTGAAATTAGTCAGAAGAGATACAGACATAGAAAGATTGCATTCATTTGTGGAATATAAAGTAACAGAATGGGAGACTAACACCCAAGAATAGTAGAGATAAGTACCAGAAGGATCAGTCCACAGCTTAGAAGTCAGCCTCCCATGCTGGGGGAAAAGGCAGCTCAGATAGAGAAGGGACCACCAAGTAAACGGTGCTGGTAGGACCCGCTTGGGATGGGAGATGCGGCCCAAAAGTAGACTATAGACTGAACATGATGGCCACTTAATACCTCTACTGCAAACCACAATACCCGAGAGAGAGAGAGAGAGAGAGAGAGAGAGAGAGAGAGAGAGAGAGAGAGAGATAAAGGAGATGCCCTACACAGAGGCGGTGGAGGGTGGAGGGGACGGGGTGGAGGTGATGGGAGGGATGCTGGGACCAGTGGTGGTGGGAAATGGGCAGTGGTGGAAGGATGGGTACTCGAACATTGATTGTATGACTGAAACGCAAGCTCGAAAGTTTGTAAGCCTGTAACTGTACCTCACGGCTATTCACTAATAAAATAAAATAAAATAAGAATTGTCCAAATTGTTTTCCCTAGAGGTTGAACCAGTTGATATTCTCACTAAGTGTGGATGAGGGTTCCTTTTCCCCACATTTTTGCCAGTATTGGTTGATTTTATACTTTCTGATGTATGCCATATAACTGGTGTGAGTTGGTATCTCTTTATTTTAATTTGCATCTACCTGATGATAAGTAATACAGAACATTTTTATATACCTATTGGCCATCTGTATGTCTTCTTAGGGGAAGTTTTGTTCATATGTTCGTCCCACTTTTGGGAAAGTTTCTGTTGACTACATATATATGTGTGTGTGTACATATATACATATATGTACGTATATGTAAACACATATATATGCACATATATGCACACAATGAAAAAGTATTCAGCCATAAGGAAAAAGTAATAAAATGTGTTGTTACATTAATCTATCTGGAAAGTATTGTGCTGAGTGAAGTCAGAGGAGAGGGACAAATATTGAAATTATTGAAATTATCTCTCATATGCATGATATAAAGAAACAGGGTAAAGTGTGATATAAAGTAACAGGGTAAAGTGTGATATAAAGTAACAAGGTAAAGAAATATAAAGAAACAGAATAAGGAAATAACAAATTAGCCAAAGGCAATAAAACCTAATGAACTATCTACAGAAGTGAGCTTACCATGGTGGGGGGTAGGCAGGGAATAAGATAGGAAGGGTCCTGGGGCAATAATAAAGGGAAGCAGACATGCTGATGAAGGGTATAGTGCTGAAATGTTATATGCATGAAACTTTTACATTATTGTTAATGTTAGTGTTTAAAAATAATTTAAGAAGAATATACAATGATAATATACAATGATATTTTGATAGCAAAATGTAGGAATTGCTGATATGGGTATCTCTTTAAATGAAGTTTGCTTAATTTAAATCAAATGATAGATTTAAAATTTAGATACTTTAGTGGCTAGAGAGATAGTACTACAGGTAGGGCAATTACCTTATATTTGACAAACCAGGGTTTATACACAGCACCTTGTATATCCCAGGTGCACTGCCAGGAGTGGTCACTGAACACAAAGTCTGTAGTAAACCCTGAACACACCGTGGTGTGACCTATAAAAAACAAAATAAATACTTTATATTAAATAAGTTAAGATCTGTATATTTAAACGTCATTGTAATTTCAAGTCAATAATATTTAGAAGTGGACAAAATGAAGCAAATTAAATCTGATCACTATAAAACTGTGATGTATCAAAACACCTGGGGGGAAATCAGTGAAGGCATACAGCAAAAGATGGACAAACATCTAGAGTACAAATTAGAAAATGGCATAAGTTCTTTTTATTCAGTAATATTATTAAATATCAATGGTCATAAGTCACAAATTAAAAGGCACAGAATGCTTGATATATCAAAAAACTGGTAAGGTGCTTGCCTTGCCTGAAGCTGGTTTGATCCCCAAAACTCTATATAGTTCCCTTAGCTACAGAAACTGCAATCCATGGGGACAGAACCAGGAGTAATTCCTGAACACAGTCAGGTGTGGAAAAAACATGATAGTAGCACTCATTGAGATATATGAATCAAAAGAAATAGCAGCAAAATATATAAAGCAACTGCTAACAGATCTGAAGAGAAATATTAATAGCACAAGAGTAATTGCAGTAGAATAATTTTATACTTCACTGTCACCAATCTGACAAAATACATATAAGTATTCAATGGCTCTCAATGAAGAGTTATAAGACAATGGCTTAATAGACCTTCGTAAGCCCTTTATCATAAAAATGTGGACTATACAGCCAATAGAAGAGAGAGAAGAAAAGGGAATGCCTTGCCACAGAGGCAGGGTGGGATGGGGGTGGATGGGGGGTGGGAGGGATATTGGGATATGTGGTGGTGGGAAATGGGCACGGTGGATGGATGGGTATTTGATCATTGTATAATTGAAACCCAAGCACAAAAATTTGTAAGTCTACAACTGTACATCATGGTGTCTCACTAATAAAAATTTTTTAAAAATTGTGGAGTATGCCATCATATCCAACTGATAATTGATTTTTATTTACCATTAAAAATTAATTAAGACCCCAACAACACTCAAATCCTGACATTTATCACTGATTAAAGTAAACTAAATGGATTAAAAACAACAAATGGAAGGTAAATAAAATTTATTGAATTTATAAAAATGTAATCAAAATATTTTATTAAATTAGGAAATGCAATTTTATGAACATTGAAGGTCAGTAGCTCAGAGATAGAAATTTAATTTAATTTTTGTTGCGTGGCCACATCCTGCAATACTCAGATCTTACTCCTGGCTCTGCACTCAGGATCATTCTAGCAGGCTCAGGGGACCATATGGGGTGCCAGTAATCAAACTGGGGTTGACTATGTGCAAGGAATAGAACTTACCTGCTGTGCTATCTCTCCAGTACAGAATTTTTTTGTGTGTTTGGGCCACATCCTACTGTGCTTAGTCCCCCAGCTCTACGCCCAGAGATTTGTCTTGGTGGGGCCATATGGGATGCAAGGAAAGGAACCTGGGTCCATTCCCTGCAAGGCACAAGCACTTCCGGGCACACTATTGTTCAGGCCCCTGGAAATTTGTTTTCACTTTTCACTATTTCATTGTGTGATCTCTTATAAAAGTTAAAGAGAATTGGTTATGATATTATAACTCTTTTATGCCAAATTGTCTTTGATTTTATCATTTAGTCCTCACAAAAACTTGAATCAAGTGAGATGAACTATTTCAAAAATAAGCTGCTCCTCAAACTTAGTTCTATGTTATTAAAATTGTCATGGTATTTTTTTATGACTCTGGGCTTGGGCCAAGTATTTGAGTGATTTTTTTCAATTTCAAAGTATGATGCTGACTATAGAGCCGTTTTCATACATTTTTTCCTTTTCTGTCTTCTGTTAGGAAGTCCCTGTCAACATTGGAAGAGCTGGTGCGTGTGTTGTTGTGGTGAAGCTACCATAAAGATAAATTTATCAAAGGGAAGATAAAATGGACATTTTCAAGAAATTGAGAACAAAAAAGAACAAAAGCAACAGAACATTTTCTTCAATTATAAACATAAAGATCCATTGGTTATTTTAATAGGTAGTTAGGATTATTTTCTTTAGTGAAGCCAACACAAGTTAAAATTAATTAAATATATGTGTTAAATCAATGTGTTGTTGCAGCTGATAATAAATACAAAAATTAGTGTAAGTTTTAGCTCAATAATTTTAAACAGTAAAATGTTTAAAGCAGTGTGTGAAGTCAGAGAAATATTGATATTTTAAATTAATAATCTCAAAAGTTTAATACATTCTATTTTAAATAGTTCTCTGTTGTCTTAAACATAGCTAATTTAAACAGAGCACTTGCTGTTTAAAATATAGTCAGATTTTCAGTAAGACATTATTATTGTGTATTCCAAAATATTGTACAAATTGTTTAAAAAATCGCTCAAATCTTTCATAATAACATTTGCCGTGCTGATACTAAAATATGTCTCTATTACATAATTTTGTTTTGTTTGGGGCCACATCCTACTGTGTTCATTGCTTACTCCTGACTCTGTAAAGGAATCAATCCTGGTGATGCTCAGGAGACCATTTGTAGTGCCAGGGATTTGAACCGAGGTCCACCACATGCAAGGCAAGTGCCTTACTTTCTGTACTGTATCTCTGGCAATAGTTGAAATAATGTTTATTCTCATTACAGTTTGTTAAAATTTTCATAAACTAACCCTGTTAAAGTGCCATCTCCAGAACACAGATTTGGTGTTTCTTTATTCTTTTTGATTTGTTGCATGCAAAATATTATTGTAATTTTACAAGAATTATCTATATCATAAAATGTGAAACATTTATCATATTGATAAAACTGTGATCTTAGGCATAAAATGTTAGGGACTCAATTTTCTAAAAAGCAGTATTTCCCTCTATTATTTCTGTGAATTTATAAACACCTACCATTAAATTAAACAAGTTTTTAAAAATAAACTTTTAAGATACAGAAATATATGTTCTACAATATTAATACATAAAAATAGCAAAGTATCTAATATCCAAGATTAACTCTATAATTATAACTTTTGTTACAGTCCATGGTTTTCTGTTAGTATTAATTTTATTAGCAGAAAATGTTACCTGTGTGAAGTATGAAATAAACTATAAATTAATAAATGAAAGAGACTAATTGAATAGTTTACCTATAAACACTAATTTTGATCTATCATAAAATAACAGTTGAAAATTTTCTTTATAAAAGTAACTTTTCAAGTAAATATAACTTTTAGAATTTCTCCTATGTGTTTTAAAATGGGTTTGTATTGTAGAATGTGAAACTACAATTAAAATCCAGAGTTGTTTATAAAATGTACTACTCCTTTATAAGTTTGTCAAAGAGCACCATAAGCTGTACAAGTATATGTGTACTTTAACAAACTGAATTTCAATAAAGTATATTTCCTCAAATGCGGGTCCCGGGGCTGAGATCTCCCAGCCTTCTCAGATCGGGACTGTACCTTCTTTCTCCACCCAGATCCCTCATCTTCCAGTGGGTAGGCGTTACACCCATCAGCTGCCGTCAGCACCAGATGGTCCCATAAATGGCCAAGACCCAGAGACTATAAAACTCAGCTCCTGGAAGTGACATCTTATTATCTCGTTTTTACTTTGGAGAACCCGGCAGGCTAACGAAAGTATCCTGCCCGCACGGCAAAGTCTGGCAAACTTCCCGTGTCATAATCAATATGCCAAATACCAGTAACAATGATAGGTCTCATTCTCCTAGCACTGAAAGAGCATTGAATATGGCTCCTTTAAAATCTCAGGGCTAGGAAGAAGGAGACATTACTGGTGCCTGCTCGAGGCAATCGACGAACAACAGGATGAACATAATCGTGATGTTTCCTTTGATTGAAAGTACTATGGTTTTTTTTTTCTGTGTAGCCTCTGACAAGGTTTTAAGTAGAGGTAGGTTAGAACTACTTAAAACTCACAAATCCTTGGGGCCAGAAAGAGTTCAGAAGGGAGGGCACTCACCTTCTATATAACTGACTGGATTTGATCCTCAGCACCTCACAGGGTTCCCTGAGTCAGCCAGGAGTGAATCCAGAGTACAGGAGTAAGCCCTGGACACCTCTAGGTACCCATAAAAACAACAAAACAAATCACAACCCTCAGTCATATATATATGTGTATATATATATATATATATATATATATAATCCCCCATTGTTCATCAATTTTCTCGAGCGGGCATCTGTAACATCTCCACTGTGAGTCTTGTTGTTACTGTTTTTGGCATATCAAATATGTCACGGGTAGCTTGCCAGGCTTTACCCTTGTGAGGGGAATACTCTCAGTAGCTTGCAGGGCTCTCCAAGATTGGAGGAGGAATCAAACCCAGGTCGGCTGCGTGCAAGGCAAACGCCCTACCCACTATGCTATCGCTCTGGCTGTATATATATCTCTATCTATCTATCTATCTATCTATCTATCTATCTATCTGTCATCTATCTCTACAGTTGAATTCACAGACATTTGGACATCAACTCACTGGGAAGGGCACTAGGTGAAGGCAGTAGACTTCTGTACTGAGGCTGTGATGTCATTTTCTGCAACGGGGAAATGACAGCTCCCACTACAGCTGCTGGTTCTCAAAAAACTGCTGGGGCGGCTAAGTCTGAGTTGAAGACTTTGTGCAACCTTCCTTTATTTAAAAGAGGTATTGGAAGATACTAGTCCTCCTGGAGACTTTGCATGCAGTCTCCTCCTGGTGGTTTCTCAGACCTGGCTTGATATAGCAGCTCATCAGGAGGAGCTCCAGAATTTCCCTGCTGTCTCAGTTCCCAGCAACAAGGTGCAAGGGTGTGAGGAGGCCTTTGTTCTGAGCATTGACATCAGCTTCCTGCTGAAGCAGGAAGGATGCCACCCTAGCGTTATTCCAGTTACAGGCACTGTGCAGGGGCATCCGTCCATCCACGGTCACTGGAACATCTGTCCCTTGGTGGATCAGCTCCCAGAACACATCTAAGTGTCTCCCGGAGGCCACACTGGTGAGAGGTGTGTACTCATCTTCATCCCTCGTGTTCAAATCAGCAGCCTCTGCACTGTAGCAAGCCGATTGTTTTCAGCAACCCAAAGAAGTAATTTGCTTGGATCTCCTCCCATCTTTTATTACCTGAAATTGCTACCACCCCTCAGTTTTTTCATCTTGCTGCCCATTTTCATAGGAACTCCCTACCCAGAGACTCTCCTTGCCAGTGGCAATAAATTATCCATGTGTTTCCAATAATTCAAGTTGGTTAAAGTGTTCATAAAAGTTCAAGGGAATCTTTTGGTCTGGGTTTCCATCATTTATTCTCTATCCAAAGGCAAAGTATTTCAAATGACAACATGTAAGCAATCTTCCCAGTGATTAACCATGTACAATTGAATCACCAAGATATGCAGGTACTGGAACACTTCTGAAAGGCCAGACACCAGTGGCGGGCCCCCTGGTCTCCTCCCTGGAACAGCGGCGCTCCCCTTGCTCCGGGCAGTGAACCTCCCTGTCTTCCGATTGCGCTGCAGCGGCACCAGGCAGGACAGACGCGGCTACTGTGGCGGGGGAGAGCTGGTGGCCCAAGGGGACTCTCCCCTGGGCATTGGAGGAAGGGCCCGGCCGTGCCGGATACTCACGGGGCCAGCGAGCGAGAAGCAATGTTCAGGACTGTGGCTTTAGAATATGTCATGTTCAATTTGAATCTACATTTTAAGATGTATAGTCCTAATAAATACACCAATTTGGTGAATACACCAATGAGATCTTTCTCGTTTGTTTCTCATCCCTCCCATTCTCTGTACTTCTAACTAGAGTAGTATAACCATCTCCGTTCCTAGGAGTAACATGTAGGAAATTTTCTGCACACGCACACACACACAGTCCTTTGAATTATAAATTTGCACCTACACAAATCTATATGAAAGCAAAGTTACACAATCTCCCTTTCCTGATGGTTAAGATTTACACAATCTCCTAATGGTAGAGGTGATGTGCAATAGACATATATATAAAAACTCTTTACAGTAACAATATTGTAACAATGTCACCTTCCGTTTAGTAGCAATAGAAACGGAATTGATTTTAAAATTACACAAGTCTTTTTTTCCCCACAGAACAGCTTAGCTTCTAACGTAAAATTGGTGCTTGAGACAGTGGGAAAGAGAAATGAATCTATCACAGCACAACTTTCCAATAGTCCAGACAACCAGCATAGGTATAAATAGGGAGATGGTGACCAGCTATATGCCTGATCAGGTAGACAGACTGAATACCATCTTATTGATACAAAATAGCTTGCTTTATTTTCATCAGATATTGACTACCAAAAGATAGTCAGAGCGTATACCATCACTTCATTCCCTCCTCTCTTTCTCCCATTCCCCCTCCTGCAAAAATGTTTTTTCTCTCTTCCATCACATTTCTGAAGTAATAATGGTTTTTTTCCTTCTTATGTGGTAATATTGTTTTGTTGAAACTTATTTAGAAAGATGTGAGGGGAGAGAAGAGAGAAGTACATTTTTGAGAGAGAACACAGGCTTCCTCAGAGTGGAAATAAGCAAGCAAAATAACATAGAAATGAGCAAGGTTTGTTCAAGGGAGACAAGTAAGATATGTGTTAAAGATACGTGTTTAAGGGAGAACACAGAATTGAAGAATAAGCCTAAATCGCATTTCCTAGGCATTTTTTCTTCTCCTAAAATTATTTTCTGTGATAATAGACAATTAGTCTGAGAAACTGGTCGAAGTAAGAGATTTAAAGTCCAGGTCATTCAAGAGTACCTGTAGACATTTTTGAGTCCCAACCACATAATCCACCAATGAGGTTGTGGTGGCCAAGCATGAGAATGGTAGAAGCACACAGTGATGAATACCTCCCCTCTCTGGGGTTTTCCACATAGCATCCATTAAGAGTACTATTAATAAAGCAACTAGAACTCTTAGGGTAGTTTTTTTACTTATCTCTTTACATCCTCTAAATTATGACTAAAACCTAGGAATCTGTAAGATATTGAATAACAAATCATTCATTTTGAGGTAAAAAAATATTAAATAAAAGAGTAGTACCGTCATACAACAACACTGCTCAGTATATTACAAATGTAATCACAAAACCAGAATGCAAGTAAGTGCACATTAACCAGAACACAGGAAGACAACCATGGTACCCACAATGGCAGGTTTCTGTTTCCAGACACATATATGAATGCAGATGCAGCCTGGACACAGAAAATAAATCACTTAGAGACAGGACAATGGAAGAAGAAGCACACTCTTCCTATTCTCAAGGGCAGTAAATAATGGGTCCCAGATGCCAGCCTACAACTATACCACGAGAGTAAACCAATCAACAAAATACTTATAAACCAGCCAAGAATAAACAAAGATAAATGCAAGTCTGAAATATTTGTTAAAAATATCTGTCATATTGTTTCATCATATCCTTCCTGTGCCAGTCTAAATGATATTGCTCATATGGCCCATTCCCCTTAGAATGATTCTCCTCATTTTTTCTAATAAAAATTTTCTGACTATACTTATTTTAGCAAATAATTTCACAAAACTGTGTATTTATTCCCTATCTCCTAAAGAAATGATTTGTTTCTCATTCATGAAATATTTACTATGAATGTGCATTGTATAGAAAAAATAAGAGGCCAGAGTGATAGAACAGAGGGTAGGATGTTTTCCTTCATTGTGGCTAAGTCAGGTTCAATCTTGAGCAGCCCATATGGTCGCCAAACCTGTTAGGAGTGATCCCTGAGCACAGAGCCAGGGGTAAGCCCGGAGTGCAATCAGGGGTAAGTACTGAGCACAAAACTAAAATAATAATAATATAACAACCTAGAAAAATATTTTTTATTCCTGAGTTTTCAGAATAAAATGAGATGCTGAAATTCTCTCTGCAAGAGGCACTGTGCTAATCCAAGGCTGAACCACTCCGGGAACCCTCTACTCACTCATCCAGGTACTCGTTGGGCGGTAGGGCCCCTTCCCAGG